AAAAGCGTGCTTTTTAAAAAAGCGGGCGGGACGCAGGAAAATGCATTAAAAAGCGGGGGTGTCCCACCAAAAGCAGGACGTCTGGTCACCTTAACCTAACATGCCTCTATCATGGCTGAAAACATTGTTTATTATAAAAACAGTCACTGGGACCTGATTCAAAGGTACCTTTACTTTTTGTCCATTTTTAAGCTAGAGATTATCAAAAAAATTTAAAAAGAGATTTCTTCAGCAAAGCAGTTACCTTTGGAGAAAAGGAGTGATTGTAAATAGAATATTTATTATGCATATGCTTAAAGTCAAAATATTAACCAATATACAGATGTTTGGCTGAAACAAAGAAAAAAAATAGTCTAAAACATAATTAGTACTGAAGGAAAGAAATAAAGTATCATCTAATTATCATTGGTTTTTTTCAGTACTTTTGAAAATTGTAAACCAGAAACAAAATCTATACTTTTTTCAATTGAATTGATTTTCTTTTCCATCATGCAAAGCTTAATTATCATCAAAATAGCCACTGTTACCACTCTTATTTCTGTTTAGAACAAAATGTACGAATAACTTACACCAGTGTTTCTCAACCTTGGCAACTTGAAGATGTCTGGACTTCAACTCCCAGAATTCCCCAGCCAGCGAACAATGGCTGGGGAATTCTGGGAGTTGAAGTCCAGACATCTTCAAGTTGCTAAGATTGAGAAACATTGACTTACACATTTTATTCAAAGAAGGTACCTTAAATATTTTTTTTTTAAAAAGGGGGAAACCTATTTGTTTGAATTGTCTCAAATAAATAAGAGGAAGTCTTCAGAGTTCTCCATTCAGGTATGGCTAAAACCATAATTGTTTTGCCTCAGCTACTACATTTTTCCTTCACTGAAGGAAATTCTTTACAAGAAACAAATGCATAATTTCACATCACTTATTTTTGATGGTGAAATAACAATTATTTTGTATGTTATTTCCTACTTTATTATTATTTTCTTTTTTATTACAATTTTTCCCTAATTTGGTGACATTGATGGTTTTTTAATATTTTTTTCCCATTTGAATAAAACTTGTTTTGCCTGGATGTATATCACAGTCCATTCATAAGTCTATTCATAAATCTCTTATAAAAACATATAGGTAAAATATTATTGGACATTTACAGCACAAGCTCTCTGATTCACCTTTGTTTTTAATTGTCCTGGGGAGGGGGGTGTTTATTAAAAGTTGGCATTTGCAAAACAAAGTACCATACTTTTTGGAATATAAGACGCTCCGAAGTATAAGGCACAGCTTTTGGGGAGGAAAACAAGAAAAAAAATTCTGCCTCCCAGCAATTTGTCTCCTTGCATCAAACAACAAACAGCCTGTTTGTTTAGCCTGATTAGCACAAGAAAAAAAATGTGCCTCTGCCTCCCAGCAATTTGCCTCCTTGCAGCAAACAGCTTGTTTCAGTTTCAATTTCAGCACAGCACAAGCAGTTGATTGTCGGTTTGATCGGCCTCACACTGACCAGCTGTTTCAGGCTGCAGGGATTGCCATAGCCTATTGCCACCTTGGTGCACTCCATTTTCAGCCTCCGCATGCCCCATTTTCAGCCTCTGTGTGCCCCATTTTCCACCCAGGCAGCAGGGATTAGAATGAGCGGAAAATGGAATGCACGGAGGCAGAAAACGGGGCAATTGGAAGCAGCAATAGGCAATGGCAATCCCTGCAGACTGAAACAGCTGATGGTTGGGAGGACGATCCAACTGACAATTAGCTGCTTGTACTAATCAAGCTGTGTGAAGTTGAAACTGAAACAGGCTGTTTGCTGTTTGCTGCAATGAGGCAAATAGCTGGGAGGCAGAGACCAAAGTGTGGGGGCCAGTGGGTGAGTGAGGCTACATTCAGTGTATAAAGCACACCCAAATTTTCACCCTCTTTTGGGGAGGGAAGTGCATCTTATGCTCCCAAAAATACGGTACCATTCTCTGCTTGAATCTTTCTTTCTAAGTTCAGCTCCTACCAAAAGTAGATTGCCTTTTGTTGTTTCCTATTGTTGTATCTTCAAGGAAGTTTTTGACATCTGGCAAACAGAGCAGGACAACTGGTCCTGGCCAACTTGCAACAATTCAACTCACTGTCGGATAATTCAGTGCAGGACAACTCAAGAATTGCAGCTCACTTCAACCTCAATGACTTCTAACTATAGAAGGTTCATACCTAAAGCAAGACAAGGCCTACTTCAGTTCACTTGTCCCTCTTTTGATTTATCCCACATTGAATTGTCCCACGGCAAGTAATTCTGCCGCAAGTTGTGCCACAGCAAGTCAGCCAGGGTGAGTTGACCAGTGAGATGGCTGGGGCGAGTCAGTCTGGGTGAGTCAACTGTGGCAAGTTGTCCTAGACCCCCTGGCAAATGACTGGACTACTCCCTGTATTTTGGGGGCAATATTTTGGAAATGGTTTATAATTGTCTCCATCCTATGGCTGAGACTGGCCCAAGGTCATCAAGTGACTGGCCCAAGGTCATCAAGTTGGCTTTGCGCCTAAATTGAGATTGGAACCCAGGATTTCCCACTTTCTAGTCTGATGCCCTAACCACTATACCAAA